AAAAACGGTTAAAAAAACGGTAAATTTTGATTTTTAATGCTTAAATATCCCTGGAAACATGCATTAAAAAGGCTAATGTAATGACATGCCATTCATCAAACGTAGTTTAGCCATTTAGCAGTTCATCATGTATACCCTCGTAACTATAGAAATAGATACTGGTAGGTCAATTACATAACCTTCCTTTTCTGGCATTACAGCAGTCGGGAAAAGGCATATTACTCATTTGTGAAACGATGAAATAGAAATATAAACTCGAGCGTAACAAACGGAGAATTCCACAAGACGTCTCAGCTTGCGGTGTCCGCTTCTGTGATATTGTAGGATTTTTTGAATGACTCCTTGTTACAATTGCTGCAGTATCGCCTTTGGCGCCGGAGTTCGTGGGTTCATTTCCCATACGGGACAACTATTTGTGTGACCCGCAGACAATTGTGTAATACACATTTGCAAAGCGTCTGTACAACACAGAATAATATCATCCTAAGGGCAACGTTAAAAAAAGAAGATTTTAACTCCCCCCGCACTCCGCCGTCCTTGGAGAATTCAGAAGAAAATTACGGGCAAGTGGACCCTTCACAAGTCACGCTCCGTCCGCCGAGTTCCAGGACCAATTATTGCCACTTTCGTATCGCCCGGGCCGAACCATTACGGGCGCGTCAGTTGGCTAGCGCGGACATCCAATACGCCATATGTTGGCTGCCTTCAAAAGTTCAAATTTAGAAGCGACAGCTCCGTTCGAGCAATTGATTAACGATCACTCGGGGCGGACGACCCGGACGGTCTCATCCATTTTTTGTCGGAATCCCTGTTAATGATAGGTTTTGATTGTCTAAAAACGCCCGTAACAATGCAACGCCACCATATGGCTACGGGCAGAGATTGGTTTCGCAACAGTTGTCGTAATCTAAGTTTTTATACTGCGACAGTTTGCTATACACAGGAAAGGAAATTCCAGATTTTTGTTCCGATTCTGCTGAGGGTTCTGGAGGCATTACAGTTATGTAAGTGCGAGTGTGGGAATAGAATCGATATGTTGATGAGGCATTTTGTACTGTACTTATGCTCAGTAATACATGTCGATTTATATTAATGATTCGATACATATAAGATCGTAAAATATCGACGGTACGCGCTCTCATTCTATGTGTGGTATATTTGTAGTCTACTCTGAACAATTCCATTCACAACTGCGTCTCCTGGCTCTTAGCCAGACGCTGAAATTTTAATGTGATGTTGTTCACTCATTCCCTTTTGATTTTTCCTCGAGCAACCCTCACTGTGCCTTGAATATGACTAGCTAACTTAACCTATATATATTAGCTTACATATCTTCCATCTTTCACAGCTATAGTTTCACACTTTTAAAATTTTAACAAACAATAAAATTATAACAAAAAATAGAGCCACACGAAGCTGGCAAGAAATGCGAAATGTCACAATTATCACTTGCGCTCTGCGAAAAAAGCAAGAAATACAAAGCGAGGAATAAAAATAAATTTCTCATACAAAAATTTTATTCGCAGCTTTAATTTTCGGAGCCTCGGTCGACCGTTGAATGAAACGGCTAACGAAGCAGCGGTGGATATTTCGTCCGCGTCATGGTAAACGTACCTACATTTTACCTTACCGTGGACTCTTGACAGCTCTAATTAAGTATGCGGTAATAATTTATTACCGGCCGCATGTGGGCCCAGTTCGTGCTTCTACGAGCGGCGCATTATAACAGGAGTGACGCAATTAAAGTCAAGTTGCGGAAAGATATTTTTAAAACTGAAATAAAAGTCAAAGGGTAAGACGGCGGGGCACGCGCAATAAACGATAAAAATAAGCACGCTTTACGTTCGTTCTATTTATAAACAACAAACAACAAACCGCCATGCTCAGTGAAATGAAATAACTTAATTCGGATTCAATTATTTCATGATACAGGCACACACAAATTAACTTCTATGATCAGACTGAAGTTATGTTCACATTAGAGACGACCTGCAATGATTTGGTTTAATATAATTTTCAATCTAACTAAGCTCTACAGCTTCCCAACATAACTTAAAACTTTTAATACATACTTCAGGCACTACGCATAAACACATAACGAATTAACACGATTACAATTTATAATACTTATTTCTGTTCAAAACACATCATTGCATTACACTATACATAGCCATGTTGCGATTGAACACAATTAAAATGTATAATACTTATTTCTATTCAAAACACATCTTTGCACTACACTATACATAGCCATGTTGAGAATGGACACAATTAAAATGTATAATACTTATTTCTATTCAAAACACATCATGGCACTACACTATACATAGCCATGTTGAGAATGGACACAAATAAAATGTATAATACTTATTTCTATTCATAACACATCATGGCACTACACTATACATAGCCATGTTGAGAATGGACACAATTAAAATGTATAATACCTATTTCTATTCATAACACATCATGGCACTACACTATACATAACCATTTTGAAAATGAACACAATTAAAATATATAATACTTATTTCTATTCAAAACACATCATTGCACTACACTATACATAGCCATGTTGAGAATGAACACAATTAAAATGTATAATACTTATTTCTATTCATAACACATCATGGCACTACACTATACATAACCATTTTGAAAATGAACACAATTAAAATATATAATACTTATTTCTATTCAAAACACATCTTTGCACTACACTATACATAGCCATGTTGAGAATGGACACAATTAAAATGTATAATACTTATTTCTATTCAAAACACATCATTGCACTACACTATACATAGCCATGTTGAGAATGGACACAAATAAAATGTATAATACTTATTTCTATTCATAACACATCATGGCACTACACTATACATAGCCATGTTGAGAATGGACACAATTAAAATGTATAATACTTATTTCTATTCATAACACATCATGGCACTACACTATACATAACCATTTTGAAAATGAACACAATTAAAATATATAATACTTATTTCTATTCAAAACACATCATTGCACTACACTATACATAGCCATGTTGAGAATGAACACAATTAAAATGTATAATACTTATTTCTATTCATAACACATCATGGCACTACACTATACATAACCATTTTGAAAATGAACACAATTAAAATATATAATAGGTTATTTCTATTCAAAACACATCATTGCACTACACTATACATAGCCATGTTGAGAATGAACACAATTAAAATGTATAATACTTATTTCTATTCATAACACATCATGGCACTACACTATACATAACCATTTTTAAAATGAACACAATTAAAATATATAATACTTATTTCTATTCAAAACACATCTTTGCACTACACTATACATAGCCATGTTGAGAATGGACACAATTAAAATGTATAATACTTATTTCCATTCAAAACACATCATTGCACTACACTATACATAGCCATGTTGAGAATGGACACAATTAAAATGTATAATACTTATTTCTATTCAAAACACATCATTGCACTACACTATACATAGCCATGTTGAGAATGGACACAATTAAAATGTATAATACTTATTTCTATTCATAACACATCATGGCACTACACTATACATAACCATTTTGAAAATGAACACAATTAAAATATATAATACTTATTTCTATTCAAAACACATCATTGCACTACACTATACATAGCCATGTTGAGAATGAACACAATTAAAATGTATAATACTTATTTCTATTCAAAACACATCATGGCACTACACGTTACATAGACATGTTGAGAATGAACAAAATTAAAATGTATAATACTTATTTCTATTCATAACACATAATTGCACTACACTATACATAGCCATGTTGAGAAAGAACACAACTAAAATGTATAACACTTATTTCTATTAAAAACACATCATGGCACTACATTATACAGAGCGATTTTGAGGATAAACACAATTAAAATTTATAATACTAATTTCTATTCAAAACGCATCATGGCTCTACACTATACATAACCATGTTCAGGATGAACACAATTAAAAATTATTATACTTATTTAAAAAAAACACATCATGGCACTACACTACACAGCCACATCGAGAATAAACACAATTCAAATTTATAATACTTATTTCTGTTTAAAATCAAAGCACTACACATAAAAACGGAGATTGAACACTAACAACTTCTGCAACCTAGAATAGAGGGCATAGCAAAAATCCCGGCTCAAATTTAAAAGCGCGTAAGTCACATGAAACGGAACTGGCTGCGCTGTAAACGGTTTCCGGGTGCTCGCCTTTAATTTCATTGTACTCGAGCGAGCCGAGTTTAAATTCCGCTCCAAATGAACCGCCTCGGCGCCGATGAGTTCCTTAATTGCGAAACGTAGGAACCTGCGGATCTTGGAAATATTGCTCGTAGTGGGTCGAGGTACGCCGTTTCGAAATGGCGCGACTCGTAATGCGTCTATTATTTGCTACGAACCGTGTACAGATATGTAAGCTTGTGAAAAAATATTGATTTTTGTTACAATCTATTACTTACCCATTTGTTTCTTTTTATATTTGTATATTCTTAATACTATTTTTGCGAACATAAAAAAAAATAAATGGAAATGAACACTGATTACGTGAAAAGGCTGCTTTTTTATCGCGGTGACAACGTCTTGTTTGGTCATATCATAAACTGCTTGACCCATTTAAAACAATTGATTTTTTTCTTTTGGAAAACCTTCGATTTTTATTAAAAAAATCGATGTTCTTATGATATTGGTCGTGTATGTGCCGTTATTTTAATTACGTTACTTAATTCACAACATATTACTTTTGTCTTAAATAGACTGATACCAAAAAAAACCTACGTTTCAAGCAGCATCTTACATCCCATTGTGCGTACAGGGGTCTTAAATTACATATAAACGTATATGAGGCAAGAGTACATTTCTGCATCAATTAGCGAATGGAACACGAGCTAACAAAACGATTAGCATGGGTACCCTGCGAAGATGCTCCAAGTAACAACTGGCAATGGAAAACCATCTCTCAGCTCTGACCGTAAGGTTCGTTTCAGATTGGCCGGCGCGGGCATGCCAGGCGGCATGGGCGGCGGGACCCTCGGCAGCGGCCACTGCCAACTGGCCAACCAGCCCCTGGTGATGCCGGTGTTCCCCCTGCGGGCGACGCAGCCCAGCCCGGTGCCGGTCTACTCGCCGTCGCGCTTCCACATAGACAAGCGCTGCCAGCACCGCTGCACGTGGAAGTGCCTCGCAATAGCCATGATATGCCTATGCGTCATACTAGCGGCTATGCTGGCGTACTTTATAGGTGAGTCCTTTTTTTTTTCTTCTTCTTCTTCTTTGATTAATAGCCTCTTTTAAAAGAATTCTGCCAATGTCATGTCAGTAAGAGTCCTTTGTTTTTTTTTTTTTTTTAAATTTGAAAGGTGGTAAATGACTAGACCATTCACCCGATGTCAAGTGGTACCCGCCGCCGTTGGATATCAACGTTGGGTTGCATTTGCGTTATCAACTTTTGAAAAAGGGGACACGCGAAAGTATTATATTTTTCCGCTTCGCGCCGATCTTCTGTGAGGCTGTGGTACTTCCCCGGACCAGCCTGCCCGTCCGTGCAACAGCAGAAGGTGCGGCGTGGTACCACACCAACACCAAGCTTTAAATCTCCACAACTATAATGATGAGATCTAGACACGTCTCGCGGACCTCGTTGTGTGAATGAGACGGAAATACATATATCTCTATTCGACCTTGTCGTGTATTTATAAGTAAACAAATCAGTTACGCAACGTCAAGTTTAGCACGCGGAAGTTTAACGATGTGTGTTGTTATGAATACTAGTTCAATGAGACTAACTTTCGCGTCTGATGACAGTTCTCAAGAGCAATGTTTACGAAGCGCTTAAAAGTTAGACTTTGCTTAACAAAAGCATATTTTAAAGACCATCAGGTTATGTTAAATATGGCCTCGTAAGAATAAATACTGACCACAAACACGAATTAAGTTTAATTTTGAACAACTTATAAATTCTTTTAATGTTTAACATTAAAACCATTTAGCTTAAATATTTCTTCAACATCCAACATGCCCCAAAACAAGTAATTTGAATTGGATAGCAATAAATATTTGTTTACCTCTAATGTTATATTGTTACGGCATTATTCATTCAAGTAATTTATTGGAAGAAACAATAATAAAATTAACTACCTATCTGTCTGTAATGTCAAAATGAAAGACCAATTTTTATATGAAATATTTTTATGATTCAAAAAATTTAAATTGAAATGGATTCTTTTCGAAGAGGTTACGAATTGGCGTATGAGGATATCAATAAAAAATAAAAAATTATAGGATTTAAAATAAGAATCTATATTTAAATGTTCGTGTATATAACATTTTGATTTCTTGTTGGGTAAAAAACAAATGAATACACCTATTAGTGATAATTAACTATTCTGCAATAAAGTTCGAGGAAAGATATAAAGATTATTCCACGGATAATATTCCATTTCAATGATAGAAATTGGATAAACTCGATTTATTTAAAAAAACGTTTTAATGTAAATCCAAATTCGTCTGTATCTTAAAATTGTGTTTTCAAATAAAAAATAAAAACTTTAAAAAACTGTACAAACTTAAACGTTATTGATTTATCAGAATTTGTACTTGACAAATGCTCCGTCATTCTGTATCTGCCTAATATTATCAAAGAACGTTTGAACAAACGCTCTTGGAAATTGATTTGAACGGCAAAGCTAATGACGGAATGTTCATTAACGTTTCACGAAATTATAAACTTCGAACAATCCCCAAGAACCTCTTTTCCGTGTTCCCATCGCCGGCTCAGTAATAATTTGTAACTCTCTACGGGTTAGTTAGTCCATATTTTAATAGGATGCCGTAAGAAATGGTAGAACAACAATTTATCATTGTTCATAAAATCCCAGCGGGCTGTCCAAATACATTGTTAAGGCGTACTTTTAATAACTCACATCGAATGCCGATCAAATTATATGGTCGGTAGAGGCCTTTTTATTCGTTATCGCTTTATTGAGTGGTTTCCCTTTGGTTTTGAAGTATTTAATTCCTTTCTAATCAGTCATTATTGTATGTTTCGACGTTTTCATGACGTTATAGGTATATGCAAAAGAAGAAAAAATAGCCAGTTGTAACAATGAAATTTATTGACATATTTTATTAGTAATTAATTAATTTTTGAATACAGTAAAAACAAAAATTTATCATTGGCTCTTTTAAATTTATATTTGTAAATGTATAAATATTTTTTTTTCAATGCAACAGCAATTTAATACCCATAAAGAAATATTACGAGGGAACTCCCCGTTAATACATATAATTTAATAAGTAAGAAACAGACAGGAACTCTTTCTAACTTTAGTAGTAAAGATCGTTGTACGAGTGATCATAGAAAAATTCCCGGGTTTACCTATGACATTAGGTCGTAAACAACTGGCTTTGATTCACTCGAGCGACCCGAGTTCAAATCCTGGTGCCGAGACCAATGAAAATATTGATTGCAAGCAGATTTTTGAAATAATAATAATTAAGATAATATATTTCGATGATAAGTGAAGTCTGCCAATCCACAGAAGGGTCGCGTCGCGTGGACTACGCCCTAAAAACCTCTGTATACGAGGCCTTCCCAGCTATGGGACATATATAGGCTTGTCACTTCGCTTTTTATACTATATCAAATTTTAATCTACTGTAATCAACTGCTAACATTATATACGGGTTCTAACTGAAACCTCTAAATATTTATTAATTAAGTTAAAGATAACGGCTAAAGAAATTAACAATACCCATTCTACAGTCCCACCTTTATTCAAATGGTAAAATAGTACAATTGTTAAGTGTGTTATTTCAACACTCTTTACTTGTATTCGTAACATTGTGATTATAAAACGAACTTACCTTAATCTCCTACGAACTCTAGATCGGTCAACGAGTTTCAGGATTCGTATGGCTTTAAACGCAACAGATACATGCCTTTTCTCTCCTTCCTCCTACCCGTATTCCAGCTAGTGGAGTCGGCAAAACGCGTGAATAATATTGACAATGGTATTGCCTTACATTTTTACAACCGGCCGCCTACCTTACGTCTACATTCCTTGGACACAAACACTGAGGGTCCCGTGTGGGACTCGAACCGACGAACCCAGACGTCGAATCTTAGCCAACACCACCGAGTCATCAACGGCCGAACGATGCAAATAAGCCAAGGAGCTAAACAAACAGCGGACGCGTTTTGAACGCGAAAGCTGCGCTTTACATGCTTTCGATACACAGTAAACCTTCGGGTCAAAACATTCCGTCCGGAGGCGGATCGACGACCGGCGATCTCTCAACGTGCGAGTAAGCGTCGTACATGCAAATTGGACGGGTAAACGTTGATGTTGCAACGCTAGCTGACGGGACGCCTCCAACATTCAGCGTTTAGCTGATCGGCCGTTCACGGGGTGCGTCGTAAAAACTATACAAACATGCGGAGAGGAAAAAAAAATCCAACCAACGTGCCTCCGGCCCCCGCCCCCGCGTTAGCGCGGCCATAAATTATCCACGCCTCCCCGTCTCATATCATTTGACTGCGGATATATCAGGCTCGCAATCCCGGCCTATACGCGGAACGACCAATCATAATTTACGTGTACCATACCTAAAGCTCCATAAATCGCGAAAGTAATCCCATCTCGATTTAGAGCCGGATAACTTTTTATTCGCAAATCGTCGCAATATCTCGTGCTTCGGCGACTCTCGTGACATTATCTCTCTGTTAATTTTTCAACGCGACGCTTGATTTTTGCATATTATCGTTTTGAAATGTACTGATTTTCTAACATAATTTTTCACTAGTAGCAACACCGTACTTTTATGTGCTCTATATGTACAAAATATTACAGAAATTTGTAATAACACCAACTAATTAGAAACCATTAAGGGCCCGATATAAAAAATCTCGCACATAAAAAAATGTGAGAAGTTAGCAAGCAAGCTGGCGGTCCACCTGATGTTAAGTAATAGCCACCGGCCATGGAAATTTGCGACACCCGTTGGGTTGCAGATGGTTTGCCACTTTTTAATAAAGTTGACCTCGGCTACCTCACTTGCCAGACGAAAAGCAGAAGTATACCACTTCCACTTCACGTCGGTCTTCTGTGAGATCGTGGTGCTCGTACCTCCCCTGATGGACCTGCCCATTTGTGCAGCAGCGAAGACTGTTGCATGGCCTTACCACCGTTATATATATAAATTCGAATATTTCTATTAACCTATTATATTGGTCACCAAAAATATCTGGTGATTTTGCGATTATGTACGTTAAGGAATAACAACATCAGCTCATATATGAAGAACTAGCTGCTGCCCGCGACTATGTCTGCGTAGAATAGGCTGAAAGTGTAACATTCAGACAGAAAGACAGACGACCCGAATGGCGTAATGAGTAGTGTACCTGCTTCCTGGGCCAGAGGGTATGGGTTCGATCCCCACTACTGGAAAAATATTGTGGGATGAACATAGTGTTTTTCTAGTGTCTGGATGTTTATATATGTATAATATGTATTTATTTAAAAAAGAAAAGTACGTTTAAGTATGTTTATCAGTTTTTTAGTACCCATAATACAAGCGTTGCTTTGTTTGGGACTAGAAAATGTGTAAAAATGTGTCCTTAAATATTTATTTATTTATAATAAAAAAGACAGATTTACATAAAAATATGTGTATAAATTGTAGCCTATGTGTTATTGTGATGTATAAGCTGTATTATTGTAAAGTTTCATTAAAATCCATACAGTAGTATTTGCGTGAAAGAGTAACAAACATCGATCCATACATACAAACTTTCGCGTTTATAATATTAGTGAGGATAAATTACGGATTTACTATAATTTTTTTGCGTTTCGTAACTATCTTGGAACACACACGTTACGTATATATCGGAAACGTACTTCGTCATAATGTTATGAGGCTATTTCTGGGCTTTATTTCGTTGACCGCACCCGAGAGTTCGTAGCGATAAAACTCCAAACCGCAGACACGTTTAAGAGGTCGCAAAAATAGCATCAAAGTCTAACTCGACCGCAACTGTGTAGATAACTGCCTCTGGCCTACTTAGGCCCGAGTAAAGCTGTACCATTGGATCTCGAATAAAAGATTTACACTATGTCTTTAATATTAATATAAGATTAAGAACTCGGGAAAGAAAGTCGCACTTAAATTTAATAATATAATAAAAATCCACTGTGGTAGGGCCACGCAACAGTCTTCGCTGTTGCACGAATGGGCAGGTCC